GTGGCTTGGCAGCGAGCCCCTCCATCCTGTCCAGGGCACCCCCATCTCTGTGTGTGCTCCCCCCCACTTGCCAAATGATGCCTCCAGAGCTGAGGCTGAGCCTGGGGACCCCTTGCCACCCCCCAGCCCTTCCTGTGGATCCTGCCACATCCAACCAGCCCAAGAGCCGAGCCCCGAGCCCCGGCCCCCCACGGTGGGCAGGCAGGTGGGGGGCTGCTTACCTTGGGGCCCGTCGAACTTGGCCTTTTTAACTGCGGGGACAGAGAGGAAGGGAAGAGATTCAGCCTGAGAGCCCCGTGCGGGGGGCTGGGGACCCCCACCAGGGTTCCAAGGGGGTGGGAGGACCCCAGGCCTGGCCACCACCCTCCCCAGCTGCAAGGTGGGGGAAGGCAGTGGGATCCCTCCTGCTGGTGTAAATCAGGAGTCCCCAGTGCCAGGCACGAGGGAGGGGGATCAGGCATGAGCTGGAGGTGGGCACTGGAGGGGAGCAAAGGCCCCCCCAAAAAACCTGCCACTTTGGGACAACTTGAAACATCTCATTGCAACCCCAAATGACCAGCCTTCATCTGCTGAGGGGGCGTTTAACCCCCCCTCACCCCCCTGCTTCTGAATTCAGATCCATTTGGGCAAACAGATGATGTTACCGTACACATCCCGGGGGGAAAGGGGGGGGGGGGGGGGGGGAGGGTGTTTGTGTTTGCCTTAGGCTTCCTAGTCGTCCAGGATAAACGCATAAGAATAAATAGCAACTGTTTGAGTTCTCTAGCAGCCTCAATGCTTCAGAGAGTGTTGCCAGCAACTGTAGGACTGAAATGAAATTTGCTTTGTCCTCTTCTGGGCTTGTTTTCTGTTCCTTTGTCCATCTGTAACAGTGTTGGAGAAGAATCACCCCCTCGTGCTTTTTGTCCTTGTCCCCCTCCCGGGGCCCCCCAGGAGCTGGTTCCCATCCTGCCCGCTGGGGACCCCTCCCAACTGGCTGACTGCATGCGGGGGGGGGGGGGGGTTGCATCTGGCCCGGATCCTCTTCAGGACCACGGGAACAAACACCCCCGATTCTGGCTGATCCCCCCCCAGCTTTACACCAGTGCTGCGAGCGGGAGGTGCAGGGGGGGTTGGTACCCAGGTTCTGCCCGCAATGGGGAGCCAAACAGGCAGCTGGGCAGAGCCAGGTACCAACGCTGCCGATGCCAGGGGGTGGCGGGGCCAAGGGGTGTCCTCGGGGTGTCCTCAGGGCTCACAGGAGGGGACCAGGCACGGAGGGAATGACACAGCACCCGGAGAATGGTTAAGTGACGCGGGTGCCAGCGGGTGGAGGACCAACGTGACCGAGGAGGGATGAAAATAGCCCTGGCGATATCAAAGGTAATTTGATTTCAGAGACGTGCCACTCGCCAGCCGCTTATCACCCGCCGCCAGCACTGGAGGGGCCGTGGGGGCTGCTGCCGGCTCCATGTGCCCGGCGGGGGTTTGGAGGAGGCAACGTGGCACGAGCAGCCCCCGCCTGGCCCCAGGGTACCTCTGGGGAAACTGAGGCAGGGGGGAACCGTTGGCTCAGCCTCGGCACACCGCTCAGAAAATAATTGGGGATCCTTCGGCTCGGCTGCCTGCCCTGTGCTGCCGAGAAGGTCACGCGTTGGGCAGCTCTTTGCAGCGACTTTGCCCGAAGGAAGGTTGCCAGCCACGTCACTGGCAGCCGTGTTCCGTGGGAATCACAGGACTCCGGGAGCTGCAGCTCCACTCAGGGATGGGGAGGGTCATGCGTGGGGGGGGTTGGTTCGAGGCCAGGCACGAGGCTCTGGGATCCCAAAGATCCCTTAGTGTTACTGGGTTGGGAGCCCGGGGGACTGCGTGGGGACGGCCAGCATCACTGTGTGTTATAATATTATATTATATACCTTTTGTGTATATTATAATGTATTATTGTATGTATATTTTATATATACGTGATTATTGATTATATTATATTATATTACAGTATTTGGTACCAGGACCTGCCCGTGGTGCGTGCTCGGAGCTGCACAGGGACCCCCAGCATGGGAGCCTGCCCTTGCCCCGGACCCAGACGCACCCGCCGGGGCCGACCGCTCTCCACCAGCCGCTGCCTCCGAAACGGGAGAGCAGAGGAAGGAAAAGCTCCAAAAATACCCGAGCTGACAGGAACAAACAATTACCCAGGGAACACGTGGCTCTCCTGGCTGTCATCTACTGCCGGGGAGAAGTCCTGCTGCCACCATCTGCGGCTGACGGCCCCGAGAGGGCTGTGCTGCCCTCCCGCCCACCAACAGGTCCCCAAAGCTGGCGCAGGGGTGGCAGGTCCCAGGTTGCCACCCTTGGGCTAAATTCAACCTGAGCCCCCAGACAAGGAGCTGGGGACAGCGGGACCCCCATGGGAGCTGGGTACCCCCACAACAGTCTGGAAGACCCCAGGTGCTTCCCAGGCTGGGGTAATCAGCCTCCTCTTGGGGGAGTGTTGCCCAGTTGGGGAAACTGAGGCAGGAGGCAGCTGGCAGGGATCGGACTGGCAACGGCGTAAAAACCAGGCTGGGCTGTAGGCATCCCGAAACAGGCCTGTCTGTCTGTCCATCCCTCTGTCTGTCCATCCATTCACCTACGCGTCCATCCACCTATCCCTCTGTCCATCCATCCATTCACCTACCTGTCCATCCACCCATGTCTCTGTCCACCCATCTCTCTGTCCGTCCATCCTTTGACCACCCACCCACTCACCTGTCTCTCCATCCACCCCCTCCCTCCACCCGTCCGTCCATCCATCCATTCACCCCTCTGTCCGTCTGTCCATCCACCCACCCCTCTGTCTACCTGCTCACGTCTCCCCACCCCTCCATCCATCTGTCCATCCGTCTCTCCGTCTGCCTCTCCGGATGCCCATCCACCCGCCCGTCCATCTGTCTGTCTGCCTCACACCACTTCAGACACCCCCCCTCCCGGCCACGCACCCCTGTCCCCCGCTCACCCCACACCTCCCAGGGCCACTTCAGTGCCTGTCACCCAGGCGCACCCCCCCGGCACGAAGCCCTTGGGGGCTGCGCATGGCCCCGGCCCCCCGGGAGGGGCAGGGGAAGGCTGGGGGAGGCGCTGGGGTGACACCTCCACCCCTGGGACTCCAAAAATAGGGTGACAAAAATAGCTGCCCCCAGCGAGCGGTGACGGGGCAGCGGGGGAAGCCCGAACCCGCCAGGAGCTGTTTCTCACCATCCGCCCCCGGCTTCGCTGAGGGTGTCACCGCGTGCGACAGTCCCTTAAACAGGAGTAAAGACCTGCCAGAGGGGGGGGACCCCAAATCTGGGGCTGGCTGGTGTCCGGCTGGGGGACACGCAGAGGCACGCCAGCTTTGGCACGGCTCCCAGCCCCCCAGGGAGCAGCTCCCTGCGTGCCGTCATGGCACTGCCACGGGAGAGGGGGCTGTGACAGCACCTAAGGGACAAGGACACGGCGGGGGGGTGGGAGGAGCTCAGGCAGCTGTGGGGGAGCCCCCATTTTCCTCCTGATTACCGGGGAGGGGACACTGGTGGGGGAATCCCAGACACCCTGTGCCCCACCTTGTCCCCAGCTGCCACTCTGCCACCTCCGTTCTGCCGCCCCTGGGACCTACAGGTACCACCCCCTCCCCATCGGGGTGCCACAGGGTTTGAGGAGGGGGGAAAGGGACCCCCCCAGACTTCTCCCTCCCCAGGCTGAGCACTCAATCCAGAGTAACCACCAGTGAGGCCAAGCCTGAGACTGCAGGATTCATCTGTGCACTGAGTTGGGCAAGTCTCAGCATGCTGGGGTGCGGCGATCCCCTACCTGCGCGTTCCCCCCAGTTCCCCCCGGTAAGGGGTGACCAGCACCCCTAACTGGGCCCCCACCAGCACCAGACCACCACCCT